ATTAAATAAACTAAAGAAAAATAAAATAAAATTAAATCCAATTCTTCTAAATCCCCTCAAATTGAAGGGATTAAAAATAAGAGATTTGAAGAGAGTTTACTGCCCCTCCATCTCTCCCTCTCTCATTTTCCCTCCATTAATAATATTATTTAAATAATATAAAAGAAAAACATCTTCTTCACTATCCTCCCCCCTCAACTCTCTCAATCCAAACTAAGATTTAAGATAAATTGGGCCACTAAAGGCCCAAATGGATTGCCAAATATGTAAATAAAAATAATAATTAAAATGGGAACAAAAACGGGAGGACAAAGCGCTAGGGGATCATCTCCTCCAAGAAGGGGAGGTTGCATGAGTGTCAGCCGGCGGTTACTTAATAAGAAAATAATTCTACAAACAAGATTTGGTTACTCTCTTCTCTGTTTGTTTCTCTCTATTATCACTTCGCGCAACAAATCGATACCCCTTTCTATCAAAATTATTTTTAATGGTTAAATTACTCGATTCCATTTCAGGGACACCATTAGACCCCCAAAAAAAAAAAAAAAATCCTTATAGGTGCAACTCAAAAATTGGAAATTTTGTTTAATTCACACTGATATTTTATGATATGTTGAATAGGATATTTGGGAGTAAAGATAATATATATGAGTTCTAGAAGGTCTAATGCTCTTAAATTCTTCAAATCCATTTAACTGGATTTGGAGATTTTTAACATTTTCTCCATTTGTAATTTCTTTGCTTTTAATTTTTTATTTAATGCATCTAAACAATTAGATTGGGCCTTATTGTGCTATATGCTCGGTTAAGGGTAGACCTGGAAAATGAAGAATTTTGTTTTCAAAAAGCTATTGAAAATGAGTATAATAGTACACACAATATAAAGGTTATAGTTAAGGTTGTGACATTAACCTCACCCCAGTATTTATGTCAATTAACCTATAATACATTAATTAGCAAAGTTATTTAGATTTTACTAGGATAACATGATAGGTATAAGTAATCATCAAGAATGTTCTCAAGCTTTAACCAAAATTCAAGACAACATTAATAATATGGTATAGAAATTATGGGTGCGTTTAGGATTACTATAAAATGTTGTACTTGTAATTGTAGTTATGGTTATGTTGAACTGTACTATACTATAATTGTGGCTGAAAATTATTTTGGTATTTTGTTATTTATTTTTTGAAAGTATTATAATGAAATATAGTAGATTTTATTAATTATTAATTAAAATTTTAAAAATATTATAAGATATATAATTATTAAAATTGATAATATTTACTATTTTTTGATAATTTAGGTTTTTTAAAGTTGTTATCAGTATTAAAATATTATAAATTATGATTTAATTAAATTATATGAAATTGAGTTTTAATGAGTAATTTTATAATTATATTAAATATTTAGCATTCTCCATAAAAACCACAACCGAAAAAGCTCACAAATAAAATTTCTGACTTTATATATAAAATTATTATAAATCTGTTATGATTTTTTACAGTTTAAAAAAAAAACAATATAAAAAAAATTATCAAATATACATATATATTTAAAAGCACTATATGACTACACAAAAAAGCTCCAACCACAATTCCAATTGCACCCTATATCTTGTATTATAAATTAGTCTTTCTTTCTCTTCAGTTATTAAATATGGCATCAGAGGATTGGATTGTGGATCCCACTGAGAAAAGTATGCAAAGACCAATATTAGTGTTTTTGGTCCCTTAACAGGCATTTTCGTGGCTAACTTACTGAGAAGGAAATTTAGCCAATTAAGAGGAATTGAAGACCTCACATCCTCTTCAGTCCTCATTTATGGATACAAAGTCTTGGATTCGAAACCAAGACAGAAGTCCTAATCAAGCTTAATATCTGCAATAAGAAAAAATTTCATCCGACGTCAATTCAGTCCAGCTATATATATAGTAACAATTTGAAACTGGAGAGAAATTAAAGGACAAAAGTGCTCAGGAAAAGAACACGAATATGGTCGCAGGATCTAGGAGTCATCATTCAGAGACTTGGATGAAAGAAGGGCATACAATGTATTAATTCTTCATTTCATGGATTAATATTATTTTTGCATCAGGAAAATTTGACTTGGATACACTAGACATGCAATGTAGAACCTTTAAACTAATTGTTTTATCTATTCTATGCACATGCATTGGAGATTTAGATACCATATCATAATCAAATGAAGACTAACATTTTTCCTTTTTTAAAAAAAAGGGTCAATATGAAATAATTATTGTGAGATACGGTTATACATATGGACTTTATATTAGGATACTTCGAAAACAAAAACCTCACCCCTACTTTAAAAATTAGGATTGTTTTTATTTTTTAATGAGATTTTTTTTATGAGCTATACCAAAGGATAACCTTTTTCTTTCTTTAAATCCCTTCCCACTCAACTCAAAATTTAAATTTGAAATCTCTAATTTAGAATTTCAAATTATTAATCATTGAACCACCCCCTTAAGGGTTTTTAGTGAGATTTTATTAAAATTTAGTTTTGAGATTTTTTTTACCTAATTTTTTACAATACAAGCTAATACATGGGAGTCTGTACAATCTAAAATTTTCAGAGGAGGAAGTCACTAATTGCTTCTTCTCCTTAAAACAAGATTTCTTGCCCTCTTTTCAAAGTGATGAGGAGGATTATGAATCATGGTCGGTTGGCAGTGTAATGGAGGCGCAGGAGTGTGATAATAAAGGGGATGAAGTTCTGTGCCATGATAAAAATGCTCATGAAGAAGATGATGACGTGTCGTGGGTAGAAAAAGATCAGAAACAACCTACAAAGGAGGAGGAGAAGATAGGGGAAGCAATAGCTAGCAGCTCGTTTCAAATTCAAATTCAAAATTTGAATAGTGACAAAAACAGAGCAACCGAAAAATGGCTGGAACAAGAGAAGGATGTCACCGAATCGGTATTGTAGGCCGGCAAAATAGATGGGATTCAAATGGGCTCCAAAAACAAAACCAAAATGAATCCATTTAATAAGTCCAGTGCACAAGAAGCAAGTCTAGAGTTTCAAGAATCCACAAACATGGGCTTGGCCCAAGCTAGAAGAGAAAAAAAAACGTCAGGCCCAACAAACAACAAGGACTGTTCTGGAAATATGATAATACCGAAGAAGATGGGGATGATATGTTCTGGAGAGGATATGAAAAAGACAAAGGTCGGTTGGAGGAGTGGATCAGCAAGCAGAATAGGGAAACATCGAAGAGTAAAAGAAGGAAGGCTAGATCTTGTAGTTTGGTGTATCGGTGCACAGCGGAGGACGGTATGGGAGCAAAAAGAAAGAACGATGGAAAAAAATAGAGCATGCAGAGGACAGCGGAAAGACAAGCACCAAAATTTCTACCGAATCCGAATGGGAAAATAGCGGGTGGCTCGGTTGGTGATAGTGGAATACTGAACTGCAACAGATCCATAAAGAAACAGATGCAAAGCCAGCTAGCAAAGGAGATATGGGATCTTGTGAAACAGCTTGGCGCAAATGCAGAGAATGATGTCGAAGTCCTCCAAAAAATTGAGGAAATGGAGAAGAGAGATAGCCGTACGAAAGGGGACATGGCCAATCCGGACACCGGGGGAGCTAAGAAGGTAAGGGGGAGCTAAGAAGGTAAGCATAGAACCGCTATGATTCTATTGTCTTTTAATATTAGAGGGCTTGGAGGGGTTGGAAAGAAAAGACAGATTAGAGAAATTGTGATGAAGGAGAAAGTAGATTTCATAGCAATGCAAGAGACCAAATTAGTGACAGTTGACAGGAAAATTTGTAGAATAATATGGGGAACTGACGACTTAGATTGGGTAGCAAAACCATCTGTGGGCAGGTCTGGAGGTCTGTTATGCATATGGAATTCTAAGGTGCTTAAGAAAAAGGAAGTAATTGAGGGGAATAACTTCATTGGGGTATCTGGTTTATGGGGGGATGAGAAGATACCTGTGAATATCCTAAACATTTATTCCCCATGCCAGTTGATGGGCAAAAGAATTTTATGGGAAGACTTACAGGGCTTGATTAACAGTAAAAAAGGGAATTGGTGTCTAGCGGGGGACTTCAATGCTGTGAGGGGAATAGAGGAACGAGCAGGAGAGACTGGGATCAGTAGAGAAATGCGGGAATTTGACAATTTTATCAATAACTCTACTTTGGTTAATTTGCCTTTGCTTGGTAGGAAATATACTTGGTATAACTCTAATGGCCAGTATATGAGCAGAATTGATAGATTTTTGTTATCAAAAGATTGGGTTACCAAATGGTGTGATGTAAAACAGTGGGGTTTGAGAAGATCAGTATCGGATCATTGTCCCATTTTACTCAAGAACAAGAAGATGGATTGGGGCCCAAAACCGTTCAAATTTTTTTATGCATGGTTTGAGCAACCAGGATGCAAGGAATTAATGACAAATGTGTGGAATTCCAGGTTAAGGGGCAAAGTGGCTTCATACTTAAAGAGAAATTGAAAAGAATGAAGAAAGCATTAAAGGAATGGAGCAAGAATTTAGCTGAAGATGTGGATGACAAATTTAAAGAAGCTAAATCAGTGATAGCTGAAATTGATGAGAAAGGAGAGAGTAATCAATTGACTACTGAAGACATCGAAAGGAGGAGGAACAGCTTTATGATACTATGGAAAAATCTAAGAATCAAGGAGAGGATGTGGCAACAAAAGTCAAGGAGGATGTGGTTCAAGGAAGGGGATGCGAATACAAGATTTTTTCATAGATGTGTCAAGGGAAGATGGAGAAGAAATGAAATTAATTGTATTCGGGTCAATGGGGAACATTACACGAGTGTGAAGGAAATAAAGGAAGAAGTGGCTAAGTACTTCAAAGATTTATTTTCAGAAGAGGTATGGCAGAGACCAAAGCTTGATGGGATTAGAGTTAATCAAATATCACAAGCAAACAATGAGTTGCTAGTGACTGGTTTTGCTGAAAAGGAAATTAAAGAAGCAATTTGGGACTGCTGTTCCTCCAAATCCTCGGGCCCGGATGGATTCAATTTTGGATTTGCGAAGAAGATGTGGGAAGATATAAAGGCTGAGGTGGTCGATTTTGTGCAGGAATTTTGGGAACACGGCAGACTTGCAAGGGGATCAAACGCATCTTTCATTGTTCTAATTCCAAAGACAGAAAATCCACAAGGAATTGAGGATTATAGACCCATTTCGCTAATCGGGATCATGTATAAGATCATCGCAAAGTTGCTAGCAAATCGGCTGCGAACTGTATTGCCTAAGGTCATTGGGGAACAACAGATGGCATTTATTGAAGGTAGACAATTACCCGATGGAGTGGTGATTGCAAATGAAGTCATTGATGAGGCTAAGAGGAAGAGGAAAAAAAGTTTTCTTTTTAAGGCTGACTTCGAGAAAGCATATGATAAAGTGTGTTGGAGTTTTATAGAATACATGACGATGAGGATCGGATTTACGGAAAAATGGAGAAAGTGGATTCAAGAATGTCTAAGATCAAGCTTGGTCTCTATTCTCATTAATGGAAGCCCAACAAAAGAGTTCCCGGTAAGCAAAGGCATTCGACAAGGAGACCCGCTATCCCCCTTCTTATTTTTGATTGTGGCAGAAGGATTGAATGGATTAGTTTCTACTGCAGTGGAGAAGAATCTTTACAAGGGTGTCACGGTGGGAAATGGAGATACAATGGTTACACATTTATAGTTTGCTTATGATACTATCTTCTTTGGGGAGGCATCTGATGAAAACATAAGGGTGGTCAAAGGGATTATAAAGACTTTTGAGTTGGCTTCAGGGCTAAAGATTAATTTTGCGAAAAGTCAAATAATGGGGATGGGAGTTGAAGAAAGCTGGACAGCAAGGATGGCATATAGACTGTGTTGCACACAAGGAGAATTTCCACTTAAATATCTAGGAATTCCAATTGGCGGGAATCACAGAAAAACAGCAATGTGGTATCCAATGGTTCAATCTTGCAAAAAGAAACTTGCTAGTTGGAAGGGTAGGCATTTATCTTTCGGGGGCCGCATCACGCTCATCAACTTAGTGTTGTCCAGTCTACCGGTGTTCCTAATGTCCGTTTACTTAATCCCAAAAGGTATTCTTCTTTCCATTGATAAAATTCGTAAAAGTTTTTTATGGGGTTAGGGGGGAGATGACAGGAGGATTAATTGGGTTAAGTGGGAGAAGATATGTAAAAAAAAAGAGGAAGGAGGGCTGGGAGTGAGGGATTTGCGGAAGTTTAATTTGGCTTTGATGGGAAAATGGTGGGGACGGTTGGCAGAAAACAAGGAGGGATTGTGGAAGAAAATAATTATGGAAAGATATGGCGATGGAGGTAACCACTGGTTAGATTGGGTTAAAGAGAATACAAGAGTAGGCTCTATTTGGTGGAGAGATGTGTGCCGTCTTGATTCTTTGCAGGGAGAGAGTGGAGGGTGGTTATCAGAGAATTTTAGAATAAAAATGGGGGAAGGAAAAAGAGTTAGGTTCTGGTGGGATCATTGGTGTGGGGAAGGGTGCCTTGCTAATAGGTTTCCAAGATTGTATTTATTGTCAACAGGCAAAGAGAATATGTGCTACCAAATGGGCAATGCTAGCAATGGCTCATGGAAATGGAATCTAAATTGGAGAAGGACCCTGTATGAGTGGGAAGCTGACGATGCCGTGGAACTCCAAAAGAGGATAGAAAACGTGAAGATATTAGAAGGTGACCTGGATAGATGGGAATGGATTCACGACAAGGGAGGCCAGTATTCAACCAAAACTGCTTATTCTCTTTAACAAGGGAACGGGTGGAATCGAATGAAGTGAAGACATACAAAAGAATATGGAATCCCATCCTCCCCAGTAAAATTTCAGCTTTCAATTGGCAACTAGTACTGGATAAAATACCAACCAAGGCAAATTTGCTAAGAAGAGGGATCATTAAAGACACGACAGAAACTAAGTGCGCCCTTTGTAATGAAGAAGAAGAGGATTCTACTCATTTGTTCTTAAATTGCAAAATTGTAAGGTGGGTATGGAAGGCTTGCTCCAAGTGGTGGGGGTCCAATATAACGTTGAACAGGGACCGTTGGAATACTTTTCAACTCCTAGGGACGAATACCAAAGGATCAAAAATCAGAGAAGGCATGGATTGCATCTGGAAAATAGTTGTTTGGTCCATTTGGATTGCTAGAAACCAGAAAATCTTCCACAACAAAGATGTAAATCCTGAAATACTCTTAGAAATTATCCAAATGAGATCTTTTTGGTGGATCAAAGCAAGAAAAGATTGGGCTACTGTTAATCTTTTAGATTGGATTATTGATCCAGTAGCATGTTTTAAAACCAGCTATGGGAAGCGAAAGGGAGCCTAATTAGTGGGTAATTTCCAATGGTTTCTGTTATGTATAAGTAGGATGTGTTAAATTAAATGGGTTTGAGTACCCCTTGTACTCTATATTTTCAATAAAATTATTTTCTGTTCAAAAAAAAAATAATACAAGCTAATACTCATTTTTCTACACTTCAAGAAAACATTAACATAGTTTTATTCTTGTTTTAAAAATTTGGATGTTTTAGTATTTTTCAATGGGAATTAATTAAAAGGACTTAGTTTATATACATATATGGTCAAAGCGTTCCTAAATTAGTTTTTGCACACCTCAAAACTAGTCTCTCTATAAACCATTTCAAGGGTGTATCCTCACATTGGCCTAATACATTAAAGCAAATTAGTTTCCTTAGATGCTGACCTCTAGACATGAACTACCTATAAAATGACACTTGCTCACTAATGATGCAACCGTTGAGTTAAAAAATGACATAATTTTTGAGTATTTTTCCATCTAATTTTTGGTAGATATGGTTGATGAACATTTTTCCCGATAAATAAAAGTTTTTCCTTTGACAAGAATGAGAGGAAAATCAGTGATTGAAGCTCTACAGGATAGAGAATCCATTGGAGGGTTTTCAGGAAGTCTAAGAGGTGAAATTGACAGCACAGAACCATTGCACTCAACTCAGGGAAGATTTGGACAAACGAAACAACTTCGGGGAAGTTGCAGCCACCAAAATGGCGTCGTTTCATAGCATTGAATTTTCGCATTAATTTTTAAAGAGAAAAAAAATGCTATTTAGGCCAAATACAATGGACCCACGGGACTGCCGCTGTTTCCTTATGATGAGCAAAACTTTTACCCAAATTGCCTTGACCGAAACTAAAAGTTATTCATAATTCTCCATTAGCTTGACTTTGATGGGCAAAAACTTATTTTTAGCCTTTTACCTTACTAGATTTGTAGGTTTTAGCCATTCACCTATTAAAATTGAAGAAAATAGCACTCGTTTTATAATATTTCATTAGTTCTGTTAATTAATTGTTAACTCTATTGGCTGATTGTTAATTCTGTTAGCACAGTATAAAATTAACAATTAGTTAATATAATAGTTTTATTAACTGATTGTTAACTTTATTAGCTGAAAATAGGTTTTGTCAATTAACAGTCAACTAATAATCAGCTAATAAAGTTAACAGTCAGCTAACAAACTAACAAAATGTTACAAGTGAGGGTTATTTTCTTTAATTCTAATAGGTAAAGGGTTAAAGTTAGGCTTTTACCAACTTTGATGTGATAGAGGATGAAGTGAATATGAGTCAAACTAAAAGGTTTCAGGGAAGACCTGATGACTCCAATGGCATTGGGGGAGGTTACATAAGACAAAATAAGCTTGAACATGACCTCCTCATCCTCCGCTCTACCTGCTTCCATTGTGGCCGCAGTTGTATGGGTTACACTTCTTCCAAGAGACACAATGATGTTAGCAGCATCAGTGGCAGCGTTGCAAGAATTAGAAGCTAAAGCATTGTTGGAGAGTGGGTGGTGGTATGGCTATGTCAACAACATTACAAATCATTGTGGCTGGGCTAGCGTAACATGCTACCATGGTGGAAGCGTCATCGAGATTAGCCTTCCATATTATATTCAAGTGGGAGTACTATTTACAAAGATGAACTTCTCTGCCTTCCCCAATCTTATTCGGCTGAATCTTAGTCATCAAAGACTTGAAGGAAGCATGCCTCCTAGTTTGGGTGATCTAACCAAACTTAGATCCTTGTCTTTTGGGATAAACTTACTTAATGGATCCATACCACCAGAAATTGGGAAGCTAAATAATTTGGCTATGGTTACTTTGGATCTTTCTAGCCAACTCTCTTTCAGGTGAAGTTTCTTCCACTTTAGAGCAAACTTGGTTACTTTGGACTTATCCTCCAACATGCTTGCAGGCCCAATATTTGGCACTTTAGGTCTTTTATCCAAGTTGAAGAATCTCAACTACCTAAATATGCAGAGCAACCAACTTCTTGGTCCCCTACCTCTGACTTTGGGTCTTTTATCCAATTTGAAGCACCTAAATCTTGGGGCAAATCTAATCAATGGTTCTATCCTCTTGGAAATAGGAAATTTGAAAAATCTAGCTTACTTGAATCTTGGTTGGAATCTTTCACAAGATTTAATACCTGGAGATCTAGATATCGAGAAAGCAAAATCCTTGAAATTCTTGAACCTAGGACAGAACAAGTTCGGTGGTCTCATCCCATTCCAATTTGGTCTTCTTTCTATGCTTTAAGAGTTCTATGCTGACCACAACTTCATTAGTGGAGAGATACCTTCCAAGCTTGGGAAGTTAACAAATTTGTTGACCTTGGATCTCAGCCACAATTGCCTTACTGGTACAATGATCTTTTAATTAGCATGCTTCTTCATATGAATTCAATTTGTCATACATGTTTTAGCGGAGCAACCTTGGATAATTTGTTTGCTTTGATTTTTTTCACTTATTATTTCAATTCTTTTAACCAATCTGGAATATCTAAATAATTTGTTCATAGATTGCTTCAAAATAAGAACAAAATAATTAGTCAAATTTTCTCCTAAAATACATATAGTAACAAGGATATGTTTCACAGGTTTGATCCGTTGCACTCTACATCAACTAACCAATCTGACCAACTTGTATCTTGATTTAAATTTTTTAGAAGGTCATATACCCATGGATATTGGGAATTTGGGAACTCTATGTGACTGTCAGAAGACCCATACCTGTTCAATTTAGGAATTGCTTCAATTTAGTGGAGTTATCATTAAGCAACAACTACTTAAATGGAAGCATCCTCCCTCATAATGGCTATCTCTATGACCTCTTATTAATTGATATCAGCCATAATTCCATTGGTGGAAAGATACCTTCCTAACTTTGGCATTTACCAAACTTCGGTGTCTTGAATCTCACTTACAATAATCTCTTAGGCTTAATTTCATTTAACTTGCTTCATCTAACTCGTTTGAGGGGCTTGTTTCTTGATTCAAATCTAAGGTCATATACCTGGCAATATTGAAAATATGAGTTCTTTGCAATGTTTATACCTCTCCCGAAACAAATTGAGTGAACCCATTCCAACTCAGCTTGGATATTGCTTGAATTTAGTGGAGTTTCTCATAGAGCAACAACTTAAGTGGAAACATCCCAATTCAAATAGGCGATTTTATGCTCTCAGGAATTGATACCAACCACAATTCCATTAGTGGATCCATCCCTATTCAGCTTATGAGTTGCTCTAAATTAATGGAGTTAGCATTGAGCAACAACTACTTAAATGGAAGCTTCCCCTTTGGGATTTGTAATCTTTATAACTTCACACTGATTGATATTAGTCACAATTCCATCAGTGGAAAGATACCTTCCCAACTTTAGGATATATGTCATGCCCCAAAACCCAAATCTGAGGACGTGGCAAACGACGTGCACTCGTGAGACGGGTCCCACAAGTGCACAAGGCTCGAAACTTATTCAAATCACATCTCAAGAGTAAAATCTACCTTACAAAAGGATGATAAAATCTAAAACTTATATCCCATTTAGAATGGCTAGCCTTCTACCTCGTCACTCCCCTTGATTTCCCCGTCCTCGGTTTCGCTTCTTGAAATGGTGGACAAGGAAAACTATGAGATAAAATATCTCAGTAAGTAAAAATATGGATAGCCCTTGGTAAAAAATTTAAGCATGCCAAATAAACCATGTAAGCATAACATAACTTTCAATGATAAACCGTTAATGCAGAATCAAATTCAGTTCAATAGCAAAGCGTTCCATGACAAACCGTTAATGCAGAAGAAAATTCAGTTCAGTAGTCTCATCTATAAGTCATGGCCAGTGTTTAACAAACTCCCACTGGCAGGCGTCAGTAATGGTACTAGTGTTTAACAAACACCCACTGGCAAGCGTCAGTAATAACCAATGTTTAACCCCATTGGCAGGGTTACAGAAGTACCAGTGTTTAACAAACTCCCACTGGCAGGCGTCAGTAATGGTACCAGTGTTTAACAAACTCCCACTAGCAGGCGTCAGTAATTACCAATGTATTATCCCATTGGCAGGATTACAGAATGGACCGATCATATCAGTAAAAATGTCGATATGTGCCAGAGTTTACAAACTCCCACTGGCGAGCGTCAGTAATCATGACTATATCCGAGACAAAACCATGCAGGATTTCCAGAAAAATCCGTAATTCACAATCAATCTCAATTTCAGAAATAAATCGGAAAACTTCCATGTGAACATGGATTTAACAGAAAACTCAGAATTTACAAAATTCTCAGTTCATCAAAGCAGTTCAGTCAATTCCAAGTACAAATCGAAAATTTCATGTGGGCATGCTCAACTCCAAAAAAACAATAAAATTCTCATTTTCATTCCAATCATGCTCAATTCCAGAAAACAATGAAATTCTCATAAAAATCATCACGATTTTCATTTCAGTTTAATCACACTCAAATGTTGATAAAATCAATTTAAAATCAATTTAAACCTTGCCACCATCTCAAAAACAATTTAAAACATACTTTAAAATCGAAGGGGCTTTACCATAATTTACTTATCTCACTCGCACAGAACCGAAGGCTTAACCCAGTGCTACGGTGACAGAACGATCAAAACCTAATCACAATATCCAAGAATTAATACCGCACTACCACAATTTCAAAGGGAAATCATCATTAGGACTACCCCTAATCACGATGCTATTTCTATCAGTCTCCACATGACCGGACATCTCCAAATTTGTTCTTATATTACAAACTAAACACTTAAATCCCCGTTAATTGTTGACCCTCGGTGTGTGAACAGTGCCCATGAACAGTACCGTGAACAGCAACTTCAACTTCCAAAATTGGCAAAACAACAACTAATCTCACGGAATTTCTCTAGAGATCATAGCAGCCTAATTAACAAAATTCCTACATAACCCAAGCACAAAAACACATTTAAAATGCTGCTAAATTCTTCCCTCTTTCAGTAGAAAATTCGAACAGTACATGGACAAATCAAAGCAGGAAATTCGAAGATTCAGGGCAGTAATTGATTGCTAATTTCGAACTTAAAGAAGTGGCCATCATACCAGAATTTTCTGGCAACAACAGAACCAGAGTTGATGGGTGAGGAAACCGGCGGGTTTTTGGAGAAGAACTACCGGCAATTGAAGGAAACAAAGGAAATTAAAGTGAACCCCAGCCAATTTAAGGATGAAAAGAGGAATTCATGGCTGTTTCCTTACCTAAAACCGAAGATTCATTCTCACCCAACCCAGAGCAAGTCACGGACAGGGATGGAAGAACAGAGCAGATCCGGGATTTTCTGCAGAGGGGAAAGATTCCAAGCTCCTAAATCTTGTTCTTGAACAAGAAAAGAAAGGCAAAACCAAGCTTCTTACCGGTTTCCTCAAGAAAATTGTGGCCAGCAACTTGGGGGGCTTTCGGGAGCTGCAGGGGACGGGAAAGAAGAAGAAAAAGAGCAGAATCGGGCGGCTGAAGATAGAAAGAAAGAAGAAAAAAAAAAATCAGCCATCCTTATCCAAAATTTTCCCTCTTTAAGTCCCTCAAGTTTGGGAATTTTACTACTAAGCCCCAAAACAATATTTTTCCTCAAATAAGTCCCTTAATGCTAAAATATCACCAAATTTTGGGATATTACAATATATCAAACTTGAAGATCTTGGATCTCAGCTACAATAATTTCTAAAGCCAAATCCCAATTCAATTGCTTCATTTTCCAAAAAAGTCTTTCATGATAGACAAGGGATTATATCATCACCATCTTAGGAACAAAGTAGTGAGGTATGCTAAAATTATTCTCCCATCACCATTTATTTTGCCTTGGTATCCTTGGCTTTGTTGTTGCTTTCTAGAAGAATACATGGAGCTAAAAGTAGGGAAGCAAACCCAAGTCCAACAAAAAATGGGGACATATTCTCAATATGAAACTTTGATGGGAAGATTGCATTTGCAGACAACATTGAAGCAACTGAGGATTTTGACATCAAATATTGCATTGACACTAGTGGTTATGGCAGTGTTTATAGAGCACAATTACCAAGTGACAAAGTAGTTGCTTTGAAAAAACCTCAACAAAGGGAAGCAGAGGAACCAACATTTGATAAGAGTTTTACGAATCAGGTTAAGATGTTGATAGAAATATAACATTGAAACATTGTGAAGCTTCATGGATTTTTCTTGCACGGGAGATGCATGTTTTTGATCTATGAATACATGGAATGAGGAAGCTTGTTTTGTGTGCTTAGAAATGATGAGGAAGCTAGGGAGCTCGATTGGAACATAGGAGTGAATGTCATAAAAAGCACTGTGCATGCTTTGTCTTACCTTCATCATGATTGTATCCCACCCATCATTCATTGGGACATATCAACCAACGACATTCTATTGAACTCGAAACTAAAGGCTTTTGTTTTCGATTTTGGAAATTCACCAAAATCCTAAGTTTTTGGATCCTGATTCATTCTATTATACCCTTGTTACACTCCAAGTTTTCTCCATCACCATTCTTCCCATCTTATTTTAATTATTTCATTCTCTACCATTTAATGACATGTTAAACATTGTACACTTTTTCTATTTAGAGCTTGCTTATGCAATTGCTATGAGTGAGAAGTGTAATGTTTATAGCTTTGGAGTTGTGATACTAGAAGTACTAATGGGAAGGCATCTTGGAGAATTATTGACATTGTCATCACTTGCAAAATGTGATGCTAAGTGATATATTAGATACGTGTCTATCCCCTCTAAGAAGTAGAAATCCTAACTAGAATATCATCGTTGTTGTTACACTTGCATTTGCATGCTTGCGTCCAAAACCCAAGTTTAAGCCAACAATGAAATTTGTGTCTCAATCGTTTGTTACCTACCAAAAACCACTCTTGTACCCTTTTCCAACCATTTCTCTATTGGAACTAGTGAATAGTGAATTGGAGATCGAAAATGAAATAGAATCTCTAACAAAACTTCCAAGTCATCTAGAAACATCATGGTTCTTATTCAAAGGAAAGCCTTGATGTATAATTTTGAGAATCAAACGGCTACCTTTTTTGGACCAGGGATTGCCAATAAAAACAACTTTGTTCCTCCTTTGGTTAATAAATGGTGTACCTTGCATATAAGTGTAATACATGTATTTTACTTGTTATATAGTATATACACATTAATGAATTAATGAACCTTTGAGATCCGAAAAATCTTTTTCACAAACAACCAGAGAATGAATTGATTTTTTGATCTTAAAGGAGAAAAGAATGTTTGTTTCAGAGTTATTTCAAAATCTATTAATTCATTTGAAATTTATGTTAGTTAACCTACAATATTCCGGTAGCAAAGTTATTAAGAATAAGCAAATAGCTACAAGTAACTATCAAGAATGTTCTCAAGCTTGAACTAAAAGTTATGATAGCATAAACAATACGGCATAGAAATCATCCATCATATTATAAACAAGTCATTGCTTCTCTTCAGTCATTAATCTGACATTGAGGATTAGATTAAGGATCCCACTGAGAAAGTATGCAAAGACCAATATTTTAGTCAATTTGATCCCTCAGTAGGCAATCTCTCATGACTTGTTAACTTGGAGGAAAATTCAGCCAATTATAGAAAGAATTGAAGACTTCACGTCCACTTCATCCATGGATGCAAAGTCTTCAATCCGAAACCAAGACTGAAGTTCTAATCAAGCTTAATTTTGGCAATAAAAAGAAATTCCATCCGCCATCAAATCATTCTAGCTGGATGACAGTAATTTGAAATTGGAACAATAGCTTGCAACCATGTCAAGACTCAAGACCACATATCCTCGATAAGTGCTGAATGGACGAAGCCAAGGAAGAAGTGTTACGGCTGAAACTGTAATAACGATAAAGATCTTGATCAGATAGCCCTTCATGGCACTCCGAAGCCAGATAGGTCTTGTTATACCAAAAAGTGTACCTATATGAGAATAGTGGACTAATCCCATAGAAATTTGGACTAAGCCCAGGATTCTGAATATCTCAAATAATTGATTTGCTTAGTGAATACTTTGGATGGACAAGTGACACACCATGACTGAATAAAGGGTACCCTCTGTTGGAGAAATAATGGGTTAGAAAAGAGATCATTAGATCATTGGCTTCAAGGTGTGCTGCAAATGCCACTTTCCTTTAGGCTAATTTCACCCCCACCAGATCTGGTATGCAAAAGGGGTAGCCCGAAATGCCCATAGGATACAAAGAAGCACCTTGTTAATCTAGCCTTTGCACTAACAAGATCAACCACTGAATCATCCTTTGGAAAGCGACAAAACAATAGTTTTTGTATAGGGATTTCTCGAGCAATCGCAATGCAAAAAGGAACTATTTTATTTAGATATTTCTAGATTCAAAAAGACTCCACAAAAGAAGAAGAGATAACTTCATATTTATAGGGCAAGATGTCTATTCGAACAGACACTTCTTTTCAATTTTTATCCGTTGGAAACTCTTCCAAAAGTCATTTGGTTTGATTTGAATTCCAACTCACGTGTTTCCTTGCCTTCCAAAGTTATCCACTCTCTTCAAAAACTTATCAGAATATTATTTCTGATTTTTGACGTAAATGGTTCGAACCACATTTATATGGTTTGAACCAAAATCGTAACTTCCCGGATTATGGTTTTATGTATATGGTTCGAATCATAATTATATGATTCCAACCAAAGTTACAGTTTCTTAAATGCATTCTGTGCAATTGCTTCAAATCAACTTTTTGTGATTCGAACCCAAATCCTAGAAATATTTTGAAAATTCTTCAACATTCCCCCACCATTTTCAAAATAGAACAGCCCACCAATTGTTTTGGAAATCTTATGCATACATGAAGGTATGTTACGATTTGAACCTTTCACTTAGTGAACATGTGTTGGCAAATTAGTCAGAATTGCATGGTAGACTAATGCTTTGAACTAGCGATTCTAAGTGACTAATTGGGCACATGTCACACACAGGACTTCACGCTATCCAAAAATGGAATTCAGCATCCACTGACACAAAAAATGGCCATGTATCCTATATCCTTTTCATGAGTGCTGTTAGAGTCAAGTTCCCAACTCCTAGAAGCGGCACCACTTCCACTCATATAGGTAGATCCCATCAAAAGTGACACTGCATTAAACACTTGAATAGAAATCTGTTATAGGACCTATTAAGAGTAAAACTCAACTTCCTTTTTGTTTCATGTGGTTACCAAGTACTCTTCCACTTAGGATGCTATTATTGATAAATTGAGTACTTACAGTCACATTCATATGATGTACTTTACTTATTGAACTTAAGACTTGAAGTTTTTATCAAGTGTTAAGTCAAGGTTCCATCATGTGTGACTTTTGTCAATATGGACTTGAGACGCATCCCTCTCTTTGTCTTGTAAATTTTCCTTTTGATAATCCTTTTAATCAAGGATTCATGAAGTTAATTCACACAAGACCTTGCAAAGATTATGGTGATCACCTCATTTAAGAATGTCTTTATAAGCACTTGATGAGATCTTATTAGTTTTAGTCATCATACACATTCATATAAGAATGTCTTAGAAAAATATGAACTCTTGAAAACTATAGACATCTCTAAGAACAAGTGTTATCACTTTTAAATAGTGCCATATAACTTTGTAATACCATGATCAAGTGGAATTCTTGCTTCCTCCACTTTCAAATTTAATTTTATTTGCTTTTCAGGTGTCAAGGACTTTTAGTCCTTATTCCTCTCACTCTTGGGATTGTTCCCACCATTTTAAATATTGTTTTTCAATTTATGACATCAATATTCTTCATGAGAGACATATTAGGATAAATTCTAATTTATCAAAAATGGTTCAATTCATAAAAATATGATTCGAACCAAGTTTCTAATACTTTTTGAGTTTTCTGCGTAATTGATTCAAACCATTTTTGAGTGATTTGAACCAAAATTCTAGAACAACTCAAATCATTAGATTCATTTTCCATGACCAAGAGCAATTCACTCTTGTTGTTTATAGGATTCTTTAAATCCATATTTCTTTATCTTTTGGACCATTTTTCCAGGCTTCCAAAAATGAATCAAGTGCACAAGGTTACACTAGTTTCTAAAAATTATCTCATTAAGAGATAGCATCTAAACAAGGATTCAAAATCCTTCATGACTTATCAAAACTGAGAGCCTTTTCACTTGACCTCTCTTCTCTTAGTTTATATTCAAACTAAGATAATCAATTGGATCCCCAAATGGATTTGCCAAATCTCATTTCAATATTTCTTTCTTTAACATGGCAAAGTAGCCATCATGAGACTTGATTCTCACTTGTTTCAATTTACATATATTGATATATAATCTTACAAGCATAAATAAGAGGCATCAAAAATAACAAGTAGTCATGCTTTAAGCAACCTTTCATTAATGAAACATTATCAGATTTAGCCTCTTATATTTCTACAAGCCTCATATTAAAAACAGTAAGCATGTTAAACACATGTACAAAACTCAATGATTTTAACTAAAACTGTCATATACATAAATATGCTTATAACATAATCCAAGTAAAGGAAATCTCATTGACTTTAATAAGCCTTAAGCAAACCTTAATAAGATCATGTCCAGAAGTAAGATATATAACTTAAACTCCATAAAGCTTCATAAGTATTCACCAAAGAACAGTAAATAATCATTACTAAATGAAAAGAAAAACAAAACTTCATTTGTATCACATTAGTAATCTCTAAACCAAGGCACAATCATGCACTCAAAACATGATCATATTCAAATTCATAAAGAGAATTGTGTCTCTTATATCTTCTTTCTCACAGCCAAGAACCATGCTATCAAGTCTGAGATTTATTTAATCTCCAAATGGGATTTAAAGACCCATTTTATTTCTCTTGTCTCATTGTGCCAAATGACTTTTAATTATGAATCTTTGCATAGTCATTTGCATCTTTGATAACTTCTTTGAAGCTATTCTCCAGAAGATGTTTTCTCCTCATATGTAATTAATTAAAATTAACAAGAGAACTATCACTCATGCATGAATAGCCCATGATATAAATGGTGCGTGTGCCAAAACTTAGAAAAATTCATGATTTAAGAAACTGTAAGCTCAATTTCTTACTAATTTCAGAATGAATTATTTTATTCTATCATTTTACTGGTTTTCATACCTGTTTCGATATTGTAGTGAATCTCGATTCATCTATGTTTCATATCCTCTCCAAATTTGAAAATTTCAATTGCTTCCTTCATGAACAGAATCATGTCTCCATTGTTTCATCTTTCATGAAAATAGATTTCCTTTGCTTTATTGTGAAACGTCTAGCAACCATCGCCTCATCTATGATCGATCACCATTTTGATGGTTGATGAATCACCATTTTTTCCCACGATTTAAAGTGCCAAAAATCCATTTTGTTTTGCCATTGTTGCACGCCATATCTCCTTGGCTTCACATGCATTTTAACACAAGTTTCTTCTCAATTATCCAATAATCCATGATCCCAAAAAACTTGAAAAATTAGCCTAAAGATTGTTGGAAAAATAGGGAGTTAGAAAAGAGATCATTAAATCATTGGCTTCAAGGTGTGCTGCAAATGCCACTTTCCTTCAGGCTAATTTCACCCCCACCAGATCTGGTATGCAAAAAGGGTAACCTAAAATGCCCATAGGATACAATGAAGCGCCTTGTTGATATGGCCTTTGCACTAGCAAGATCAACCACTGAACCATCCTTTGGAAAGTGACAAAACAATAGTTTTTGTATAAGGATTTCTCGAGCAATTGTAATGCAAAAAGGGGCTGTTTTATTTAGATATTTCTGGATTCAAAAAGACTCAACAAAAGAAGAAGAGATAACTTTATATTTATAGGGCAAGATGTCTGTTCGAACAGACACTTCTTTTCAATTTTTATCTGTTGGAAACTCTTCCAAAAGTCAATTTGGTTTGATTTGAATTTCAACTCACGTGTTTTCTTATCTTCCAAAGTTATCCACTCTCTTCAAAAACTTATCAAAATTTTATCTCTGATTTCTGACGTAAATTGTTCGAACCACATTTATATGATTCGAACCAAAATCGTAACTTTCCGGATTTTGGTTTTACGTAATTGGTTCGAAACATAATTATATGGTTCGAACCAAAGTTACAGTTTCTTAAATGCATTCTGTGCAATTGCTTCAAATCAACTTTTTGTGATTCGTACCCAAATTCTAGAAATATTTTGAAAATTCTTCAACACCCTCTCCACTCATTCACTGTCGTCACCGCACACACTCACCTCTTTTCTTGATATTAATTTAAGTCTAACAAATTAACATTTTAAAAGATGTTGTGTAAAAAAGTGTTGTAAAAAAAGTAAACTCAAACACAATTTTAATTTTTTTTAATAAAAATTAATTAAAATAACATAATCTTAAAATATTTTTTATTTAATCTTTTATAAGTAAGGTTGATAAACATTTTTACAATATGTATATGTACTTGTGCCCTCAACTTTTATTGACCTCCAAGAATTTTTTTTGGTCAATTACGTCAGAGACTTTTAAAAACTTAAGTAATTTAGTCCTTTTAATTGTCACTGTGATGCTGACGTGGTAAGCATTGAGCAATAAAACGCGGAAATGGTAAGAGACCTGGCACAAATTTGAGCGGGCCGCTATTCTTGACCCTTTCTTCCAGTAAAATTTCTCCCCAAATTGGTCGATACCAACAAACTAACGAAACCCTAGTTCTCAAATTGCCTCATCTGTGTTCAAATTCGATAGAAATCTGAACGATTTCTTTAGATGAGAATCCATTGCAGCGAGCGTTAGGTGATTTGATGGTGGATACGAGCTTTTCTTTCCAAGAACCAATAGTGCTTCGCTATAATGGCAGCTCGTGAACCTCAAATTTAATTCTCAGGTCGTTTCTTTTCTTTCTCCCATCCTACAATTATTGGGTCTGTGAAAATGTAGTCATTGCTCATTAGAAAGAAGATCCGATTCATCCTAATGGATACAAATCTTTTAAAATACAGATAGATCTAGATCTTGACTCGGGTCAACAGTAAATTGCTAAGGATATTCTTTTTTTAAGTTTGTTGCAATAATGGAAGAAGTTTATCAGGTATGAACACAGCGCCAACACGTTTTCTCTAGCTTTTTACTTACTGAAATTTAGAAGTGAATGGTACATGGCACCCGCAGCGAAATTGCTTGAAACTAACCTTGGAAATTCTATCAGACATTAATTCATCTTGGACACGGTTTCTAACTCTCTGTTAGCACTGATAAGTTGCTAGTCATTGGATTCCACCATCCCACAATTTCTCAGAAATCCAAGGATGAGAAAATTGAAAAGTTGTTCCCACTGATGTAACAGGATAGGGTCTCCAAGTGAAAGGAATTTCGCATTAGGGGAAAGTCAAGGGAAGACCTCGGTAAGTTAAGCTGCTACACATCTCAACATACGATACATCAAAGTCAGGGACAACAATTGCTAACCTCCAAGGCGTTTTCTCTAGCTTTGCATTGATTTGAACTTAGGAGTCAATACAATAGCGTAGAACAGCCATATCGAAATTGCTTGGAAATTATCAGGCATGAATTCATCTTCCACTCGGTTTCTAACTTTCTGTTGGGCATTTTTTTTGGGTTTCTTGACTTCAATGTATTGCACTGAGTTGATCCCTCAATCAGTTTTGTAGTTTTTTAATCCCTCAACTCATTAATCTTGTTAATGTTTAACAAGATTTAAAATTCCAAAAATTAAGCTTGAATATGTAACAACTGCAAAAACAAAATAAGGATAACATGGTCTCCTCAATTTTGGCCACTTTCATTTTGGTAGCATCATGGTCTACCTTACTTATTCACCACATCGAAGCAACAACCATGTTAACATAGGCAGCAACATCTTCAGAATCAGAAGCACGGGCTTTGCTTGAGTGCGGATGGTGGAGTGCCTACACCAACAACACAGAGAATCATTGTTCTTGGCCTGGTGTAACATGCAATGATGATGGGAGGTAAGGGTGTTCATATCCGATCCAATCCGATTGATCCGACCTAAACTGATTCAATCCGATTAAAAACCAAACCAAACCGATATAAAATTGGGTTGGTTTGGATTATAAAAATTTAAAACCGATATAATTGGTTTGGTTTGTGATTTTACTTTCAAACTGCCCGAACCGCCCGATTATAAAAAAAAAATCTGATTATAAGATAACTTAATTAAATAATATAATATTTTTATAATATTTCAAATTTTCTTTTTCTTATTTTACAAGATAATGACTGTTGATTTAATTAAAAATAAAAATAGTATATCTTATATTTCCTAATTTATTTATTTTTTAATTATATACATAAATTTTAACTCTAAATTTCAAATTCCCCTACAATTCTACCTTTATAAGTGAGTTACAATTTTATTCTTAAAACCCTACCTTCTTGAGTGGCGTGCACTTGCCAAGGTTGTCGTCTTCATTTTGCTGGGTTGTCATCTAGGTTTTGTTGGGTTTATCCTTAAACACATAATATGGGTGTCGACACCATGGGTTAATAGTCCAAAATCAAACTTTTTGTTTCCTGTTTTGTGTCGACGCATAATTCAGGGTGTCAGCACTATACATTCAACGTCCAACATTCAAGTTTCTTATTATGTTTCAAATCTTACTTTTGTTTCAAATCCTACTTTTATTCCGATTAGAGTTTTTAAAACCTTATAAATACCCATTCAAATTCAGAATTAAAAGAGCTTGGGAGGCTGTTGGCAGCCCTCTTTTGGGTATTCTTGGAGATCAAGATAAAGATTTAAGAATTTGTTTATAATTTTTAAATCTTTTCAATTTTTACAATTGTAAAAGAGTATAAGAATTTGTTTATAATTTGTACTTTTTTTAATTATGTTTCTATTTATTTGGATATTAATGTATTTTATATTTATGTTTTTTACTTAATGTTAAATTTATTTACATTATCTCATATATTTAATAGTGTTAAAAATCGATCAATCCGACCGAACCACACCGATCCGATTTAAATTGGATTGGTTTGGTTATCATATAATAGTGGATTGGATTGGTTTAAAAATTTTACTAACCGATTAAATTGGATTGGATTAAAAAATGTTAAAATCCGAACCAAACCACACCGCAAACACCCCTAATGGGAGGGTTACGATGATTCAGCCTCCTGATGATATCAAGGTAGGCAACAAATTTGGAAACCTCGATTTTTCTTCCTTCCCCCATGTTGTCCGCCTTGACCTTAGCAGTCAAGGGCTCAGCGGAAGCCTCCCTCCTCAAGTGGCTTCTCTTTCAAATCTCAAGTGCCTTTACCTCACTTTCAATCATCTAAGTGGTGAATTACCTCATTCACTTCAAAATCTCACCCAATTAGAAACGCTCGATGTTTCATATAATAAAATCACCGCCATCCCTTCTGAAATAGGAAACATGAAGAAATTGGTTGAATTGAGGCTAGGATACAACAGCATCACAACTCCAATCCCTACATCTCTTTTTCAGTTGTCGAGTTTGCAAGTTTTAGACCTTGATAATAATCTTCTTCAGGGTTTCATCCCTCTAGAAATAGGAAACTTGAAGAATCTATCTCAATTACATCTTAGTAATAACAACCTCACCGGTTCTGTTCCTCCAGAAATAGGAAACTTGAAGAATCTATCTCAATTACATCTTAGCAATAACAACCTCTCCGGTTCTGTTCCTCCAGAAATAGGAAACCTGAAGAATCTATCTGAATTACATCTTAGTAATAACAACCTCACCGGTTCTGTTCCTCCAGAAATAGGAAACTTGAAGAATCTAGTTGCATTAGATCTTAGTGCCAACAACCTTACCGGGGACATCCCTCCTACTCTGTTTGATTCAATCAATTTGACCTCTTTGATTCTTAATTCAAATCTTTTGCATGGTTCAATACCGAAGGAGATTGGAAATTTGAAAGTTTTAGAAACGTTGGACCTTTCTCATAACAGATTGAATGGATCCATCCCATCTCAGCTCGGAGATTGCTCAAATTTATTGTCATTGTCCTTGAGCAACAACTACTTCATCAATGGAGAGATACCTCCCCAACTTGGGAACTTAGAGGGATTGACAACTTTGAATCTTAGCCACTGTAATCTCACAGGTAGTTCATCCTTTATGAACTTATATTCATTCGATTCGCCTATCTTAAAAATATTTGAGGGCCACAACCTCGAATAATTTACTTAATTTTCCATTCGTGTACTTGAATCCCTGTAGACTATGCTTCATTTTATCAATATGAAAACTTGAATATTCTTGCAAATCTTTTTGCAGGTTCTATACCCAAAGAGATCGGGAATTTGAATGGCTTAACTACACTTGACATCTCTGGTAACAGATTGAGTGGATCAATCCCAACTCAACTTGGTGGTTGCGTCAATATACGGAGCTTGTTATTGAGCAACAACTACTTGAATGGAACTATTCCGATTCAAATTGGTGGTCTCATTCGTCTCTCAAACATTAATTTTAGTCACAATTCCATCAGCGGAGAGATACCTTCCTCATTTGCGAGATCAAACTTGCAATCGTTGGATCTCAGCCACAACAACCTCACAGGAACCATTCCTCAAAATCTCACAGGACCAGGTCACTTGATAGAACTCAATTTGTCATATAATTCCTTGATAGGTCAAATCCCTTATGACCTTCTTCATTTTGCATGGGATTCCTTTATCGGTAACAAGGATTTATGCTGTTCGTCTTGTGACTCATTTTCCAGCCTACCTAGGAAATGTGGAAAAGCAGGGCATGTGATCCATCTTGTAAGTATCATTCTTCTCGTCACCATAATTTCTCTTTTCTTTGCAGCTTTGGCATGGATTTTCCTCCCTTGGCAAAGAGCTAAAAGTGAAAATGTGGTTCCAAGCTCAACCAAACATGGAAATTTGTTAAACATGTTAAACTTTGATGAAAAAATTGCCTATGAAGAAATAATCAAAGCTACTGAGAATTTTGACACCAGATATTGCATTGGGTTTGGTAGTTATGGTAGCGTTTACAGAGTAGAACTACCATGTGGAAAAGTAGTTGCCGTAAAAAAACTTCATTGTGAAGAAGCAGAGGAGCCAGATTTCAACAAGAGTTTTAGGAATGAGGCCAAGATGCTGTTAGAAATACGACATAGAAACATTGTGAAACTTCATGGGTTCTGTCTTCACAAAAAGTGCATGATTTTGGTGTATGCATTCATGGAAAGGGGAAACCTTTTTTGTTTTCTAAAAAATGATGCTACAGCAGTGGAATTGGATTGGGCCAAAAGAATTAACGTTGTCAAAAGCATAGCAAATGCACTGTGTTACTTGCATCAAGACTGTATTCCACCAATCCTTCATCGGGACATATCAAGCAAGAACATTTTGCTAAATTCAGATATGGAGGCATTTGTCTCTGACTTCGGTGTTGCCAGACTTCTTAATCCAGATTCATCAAACCAAACTGCACTTGTTGGGACTTATGGATACATTGCTCCAGGTAATTAGGCTTTGACGTTCTTGTTTCATTTCTTTACTTACTTTTGGCGGAAAAGAAATGAGAAGAATCGTATAACTTCATTCTCAGTAAGGTATCTATCTTTATTTTTTTATGCAGAATTTGCCTACACCATGGTGGTTTCCGAAAAATGCGATGTTTATAGCTATGGAGTATTGGCATTAGAAACATTAATGGGAACGCATCCAGGGGAACTCTTGTCATCATCTTCCTTGCAAAACGTAATGCTAGTTGATGTGTTAGATCCCCGGCTGCCACCCCCAAGAAGTCAGAAGCTTATACAGAACATCCTTCTTGTTGCTACAATAGCATTTGCCTGCATGCGAACTGAGCCAAAATCCAGGCCATCAATGAAACATGTGTCTGAAGAATTTCTTTGTCGCCTTAGACCTGTACCTAAACCTTTTCATGCAGTCTCTCTCTTGGAAGTGAAGGAATATGGATTATGCATGGAAGGTGAAAACAAAGCTTCAATACAGCCAGACGCAATATCAGAACCTGCAGTGTGATTGTCATATTTCCTTATGTTTCTCATGTTAATTATACTTTGGATGATAAGAAGCTCTGTTCTATGCTGTTACCTTCTCTATCTTCTCATGACATATGTTTGTTATATATTGCTTAGGGTAAGCAGGAGCTTTTATTCCCAATTTCATCAGCACAAACGTCTCATTATCCAGCAACTTAAACGCTCCACGCTTCATTTCTAAGAAAACCACCTGTATGATTCCGCTGCAAAAATTTTAAGTCCCAGTGTTTCTCATTCCTGCTTTTCAAGACTAAAAATCTGTCAATTTCATCTTTCAAAAATTTTACTGAAGTTAACTGCACTTGGAACTTTTAAAAACTAAGTCAATTTAATTTTTTTTCTTTTGTCTTTTCTTGGTTGGAACTAAAAGAATATGGAATGCACATGGAAGATGAAGGTGAAATCACAGCCTCAATGCGAGACCCTGCAGGTTGATTGTTTACATTCCTAATTGATTTTTATGTCAATTACTATATTTTGCAGAATAAGAGGCTTTGCTAAATGCTTTCCGCTTCGCTTAGGAATGCTTCTTGATGCTTTAATTTTTTAGTTTTATATTTTTTTTACCATTTGAAAAATATATCAAATGTTAACTAAAATATATATTAAATATATTTCTTAAATATACTAAATATAGTTTATATATTTTTAAAATATTAAAATGCCAAAAAACGTATAATTACAGTTACAAATTAATACTATCAAACTAAGTTTTCATTTTCTCTATTTATTTATTTATTTTGGTAATTATAGGCCTTCTGTGTTTATTTATTTATTTATTTTTGGTACATATATGTCTTCTCTATTTATGCATATAAGTTGCTTAATAGGATTGTTTGTATCTGATTTAAATTAATTGAGTCGATTGATACTGATTTACTGTGATTAAAATCTAATTCAAACTGACATCAATTTAAGTTAATTTGAATTATAAAATTTTTAAATCGAACCTAAATAGTTTAATTTGTGATTTTACTTTTAAATCAATTGAATTGTTTGATTATAAATAACTTAATTAAATAATATAGTTTTTTTATTTTTTATTTTTGGTAAATATATTTTTAAAATTTTTTAGTAAAATAAAAATATAATATATTTTTAAAATTTTTATTTTTTTATAGAAATCGTATTTTAAAATTTTCTTTCTTATCTTACTTTTCTTATTTGTTTAATATAACTTTTTTTATGATTATAATATAATATTAATTGTATTAATTATTGTTTTTCATTTTATTTTTATACTATAACTGTAAAATATAACTTAATTAACTTAGTTTAAAAATAGTGTAGCCCTACTATTAGAACTTTTAAAACGTAACAATATGAGCTTACATATCTTACTTGCTTTATTAGTTATTACTACTTTTTTTTTTTTTTGTTATTTTCTTAATTCTTACTTCAATTTAGTACGTAGTTGGTATTATTATTTTGTTATCTATGATATTATTATCTTTATAATTGTGTTTTTATGTTTGATACTTTAATTTTTTTACCTAATCGATATAATTAAAATAATATTAAAAATCAATCAATCAAATTAAACTATACTAATTTGATTTAAATTAAATTAATTTAGTTATAATATAATAATAAATTAATTTAATTTTAAAATATTAAAATCTAATCTAACCCACGCTGCAAATGCCCCTGTTGCTTATGTTATGTTTGCTCCTCAAAATTCAAATATTAGTCAATTTTGTCCTTCAGAATTTCTTTGGTAAAATCAATTACATCACTAACGTTTGAGAATTTGGACAATTTAGTCCTTTTCTGTCACTATGATGCTGACGAGCTATGCATCTCCTTTCTACTTTTTTTTTATAAATATATGTGAATAATTTTTTTATTAATTTTTTATATTTTTTATATAATTAAATAAATAAATACATCAAATATTACAAATTTTAATAAAATAAAAAATAATAATAATAACAGATAAGGTTAGATGAAAAAGTTAAGAAAAAAACTGACTCTAAATTTTTTTTCGTTAAACGGAGCAGAATTAATGCTGACATGGCTCTATCAAAATCAGAAAACCTGGGGAGATGGTCAGTGACCTGGCAAAAATTTGTAGGGCCCGCCGCTAATTTCTCCCTTTGACCCTCTTCTCATTCTTCCCCTGTTCCATTTGAAAATTTTTCCCCAAAATGATTCGACACCAACGAAAACCTTAGTTCTCAAATTGCCATCTATGTATACGATATCTATAGAAATCTGGACAATTTCTTTGTATCAGAATCTATTGCAGAGAGGCTAGGTAATTTGAAGGAAGATACCAGCTTTTCCACACCCAAGATTGCTTCAATAAAATGGCAGCTTTGTTATCCTCAAATTCATTCTCAGATTGTTCCTTTCTCTCGCATTCTACCCTTATGCCTTACGGCGTTTACTTTTCTAAGAAACGAAAATGTAATCATTTCAAAGAATATCAGATTCGATCCGATCTGATCGTATCCAGCTGATGGGCACAAATCATCTAAAGATCCAAAGACCTTGACCCTGACTCGGGCCAATTGTAGACTGACATTCTTTATCAAGTTTATGTGTTGCAATTATGGCCAAAATTCATCAGGTATGAAGGCAGCTCCAAAACGTTTTCTCTGGCTTTCTATTTATTGGAATTTAGGAGTGAATAGCATAGGATACCATTCATCGGACATGAATTCATTTTCCAATCGGTTTCTAACTTTCTGTTACTTCTGATACTATGCTACTAGTAATCACACCAAAGCCAAAGGCATTGGATTTCCCATTCCACATTCGCTCGGGAACAAAAGGATAAGTTAAGTGTTGATTAATCTAAAAAAAAAGGAAAAAGGGAATAAGTTGTTCTCCCACAAATAGACTACAATATATTTGTCCAGTTCTTCTGATTACCATACTGAAAAGGATAGGCTTTTCGCTCTGCGTTGTCTTGTGTTTGATGTAACAGGATGGCCAAAAATAAAAAAATAAAAAAACAAGCTTACCTGATAAAAATTTCAAAAAAATGTATTTTACACTTTAAAGAGATTATATAATAAAAATATAATCTGTTTTATAAATTTATTAAAATAGTTTTAGTAAAATTATTTTTTTTTTATTTTATTAAGAATATTTTAAAAAATTTATAAAGTAAATTATATTTTTAATATATAATTTAAATTATATTACATGAATCTCTTAAAATCCCATTCATTATCTACTAAAAAGTAGAGTTTTTTTAATTAATTTAGAGTGAAAAACACTAATATCTTTACATTGGTAATAGCTTGATTTAATAAATTATTTATTAATTATTATTTTTTTATTTTAATTTAAATTTTCTGTTTTTCTCAAAATTGTTTATTAATTTTTAAAATTGTTTCGATTTCCTCGGCCTACCTAACACGATTTCATTGAAAAGATTAAAGAAATTCATGTCATCACTTTTCCTTTTTCTTTTTTGATAAGTGTAATGGTTAGAGATTAGTATGTTAGAAGTGTTAATGGGAGGTATTAAACCCGAAACTTAAGAGTGCAAACTATGGGCTGCCCTTTGAGGCAGCAAGTGGCCACTAGACCACGGCACGTGAAATGCCATGTCATCACTTATTTGTTACTATATAAGTTGCTACATAAGCACCACCTAGTCCTAGGTGTGAATAATTTTATTTTTAGTTTTTTAACTTAATTTATGCCTAATTGCATAGGTTAAAAGCATTTTTTATTGTAAATATATATGAAAAAAATATAAAAATTAATATTAATTTTAGTTATGATGTTAAATAAATAAAATTAATTAAACGATTGATAAATTAAAGATTAATTTTTTTTAATATAAATTTATGATAAAATGATATATTTATTATATTTTTAATTTATACCTTTAATATATAAGTTAAAAAAATATTTTTATTTTTTTATTTTAATTGAATTTTGTTTTAATTAGATTATGTTTTAATTTAATTATTTATTATTAATTAAGATAAGAAACAAAGAGACTGAATTTTCCCTCTAGTCAGGTCATATGTTGCTTTGCGTGTCGCCAAGCCAATGTGGAGAAATCTCTAATAGTCTAATCTATTCAGTGGGATATTGGCTGTGACGCGTGGCAGATTTCTCGCTGCTTTGACAAGAGTGAGAGGAAAATCAGTGATTGAAGCTTTGCACAGAGAATTCATTTCGAGGTTTTCAGGAAGTCGAGGTGAAATCGGGCAGCACAGGAGGGTTCCAAACACCAAAATGGTGTCCTTTCGCAGCATTGAATTTTCGTTTTAAATTTTAAAGACAAAAAAAAAAAAGAGGGATTTTGCTATTTGGGCCAAATACCATGGTGCAGGGGACCTTCTCTGTTTCCTGCATCGTGATGAGGAAAACCTTGGATTTACAAATTGCACGATCTGCGTTCAAAATCTAGAGAGATCTGAACAATTACTTTAGATTCTCATCCTTATTGTAGCGAGGTAATACTATTTGAAAGAAATTTTTGTTTATTTTCGCAAGCAAGAGTACTTTCAGAAAACAAAAAACCATAAGGTATGAACGCAGCTCCAACACGTTTTCTCTAGCTTTTTATTTGTTAGAATTTAGACGTGAATGGTATAGGGCACCCGCAGCGAAGTTGCTTGAAAACTAATCTTGGAAATTCTATTAGACGTTAATTCATCTTCGACGCATTTTCTAACTTTCTAGTACCACATTTTCTCAGAAACCCAAGGATGAGAAAAGAAAAGTTGTTCCCACTGATGAACTAATTTATTTATCAGTTCTTCTAAGTACGGAATACATTGAAGAGAATAGACTTTTATCTCTGCACTGGCTTGACTTTGATGTATGAGGAAAGGATAGGGTCCCCAAGTGTGAAAGGAACTTCGCAGCTTTTGAAGTAAAAATAAGTGTGTTTTAGTTTTTTTCTTTTCTTTTTTTTTTTTCACCATATTTTATTTTTTTAACTAATATAATTGAGAAATGAAAAATAAAGTTATCAAATCTTACCCTCTAAACTTTTAAATACCACCACCTTTCTAAATGTTGTGGTTGGCTTTCACGGCATTTTATTGAACATCATAGATGCACTAATTCTAAACTTTTTTTGCCATCACAAAAAAAAAAAAAAAGAAAAAAAAAGAAAATCCTGAACTTTTTGTCAGAAACCAAGTTGAGAAAATTAAGAAAAAGAAATATATGTTCCCACGGATTGATGGACTAATTCCGAACCTTCTGAAATTTGGAATAAACTTTCATCATTCTCCATTGGCTTGGCTTCTATAAAAAGAGAATTGGATCTCCAAGGTGAAGGGAAACTTCGCATATTGATCCCTTGAAGAAAATGTGAAGTTGTCCCAGGAGACTTATAGCTTAAGACAAGACCTTCACTGCTAGTGCGATCGATCCAAGGTGAAGGGAAACTTCGCATATTGATCCCTCGAAGAAAAAGTGAAGTGTCCTAGGAGACTTATAGCTTAAGAGAAGACCTTCACCGCGAGTGCGATCAATATAAAAACTTGTTTCAAGCTTGGAAATGGAGGTCTTAGTTCTACGTTGAAATAGTCTCTTAGCACAAATCCCATCGACCAAACCTGCTTCATTATCCGAAAAGCTCTTTTTTTTTTCTTTGGCAACATGCATCTTGATACCATTATTCCCATCGCCATGTGTCTTGCCATTTTTATTGCCTTGATATCTTTTATAGTGTTGCCGTACATCAACATGTTTCTTAAGGATTCGGCTACAAGTAAGGAAGGAGACCCAATTCCAACAAAAAATGGAGATATATTCTCAATATTGAACTTTGATGGAAGGATTGCATATGAAGACATAATTAAAGCAACTGAAGATTTCGACATTAGATATTGCATTGGCACTAGTAGCTATGGTAGTGTTTATAGAGCACAATTGCCGAATGGCAAAGTAGTTGCTTTGAAGAAGCTTCACCAAAGGGAAGCACAGGAGCCAGCTTTTTATAAAAGTTTTAGGAATGAGGTTAAGATGTTGACAGAAATACGACACAAAAACATTGTGAAGCTTCATGGATTTTGCCTACACAGGCGATGCAAGTTTTTGATCTATCAATACATGGAAAGAGGAAGCTTGATTTGTGTGCTTAGAAATGATGATGAAGCCGTGGAGTTGGAATGGAATATAAGAGTGAATGTCATAACAAACATTTCACATGCTTTGTCTTACCTTCACCATGATTGCATCCGACCCATCCTTGATCGGGATATATCAAGCAAGAACATTCTATTGAACTTGAAATTGGAGGCTTTTGTTTTCGATTTTGGAAATTCTAGGTTTTTGGATCCTTATTCATCCAATCATACTGTATTTGCTGGTACTTATGGTTATATTGCACCAGGTTTACCTCATCACTATTCTTCTTCTATTATCTTATTTCATTATCTATTGTTGAATTGACATGTTAACATTGTTTTTTTTTTTTTTTCTTTTTTAGAGCTTACCTATACAATTGATGTGACTGAAAAGTGTGATGTTTATAGCTTTGGAGTTGTGGCATTAGAAGTATTGATGGGAACGCATCCTGGGGAACTATTGACATCATTGTCATCATCACCATCTTCTTTGCAAAATGTGATGCTAAGTGATATATTAGATACACGTCTATTGCCTCCAAGAAGTAAAAATCTTACTTTGAATATTGTGGTTGCTGCTACACTTGCATTGGGTTGCTTGCGTGCAAAACCAAAGTCCAGGCCAACAATGAAATTTGTGTCTCAACAATTGGTTGCTTGCCAAAGACCACTCTTGAAGTCTTTTCCAGCTATTTCTCTATTAGAGCTGCTGAATAGTGAATTGGAGATGGAAAACGAAATAGAGCCTCTACCAAAACTTTCAAGTCGTCCAGCCGAATACCATGGTTCTTCCTTCAAACAAAATCCTTAATTTCTAATTTTGAGAATCAAACGGCTACCTTGTTTTGACCAGGGATTGTCAATAAAAACAACTTAATTTGATCCTGCTTTGGTTAATAAATGAAGTACCCTGCATATAAGTGTAATACATATATTTTACTTGTTATATAGTATATACACATTAATGAATTAATGAATCTCTGAGATCCCAAAAATCTTTTTTACAAACTAAACGAAGAAAGAATCTTTATTTTTATCCTAATAGAGAATCAAATATTGTTCCAAAGTTATTTCAAAATCTATTGATTCATTTGAAATATTTATGTTAGTTGACTTACAATACATTCGGGGGCAAAGTTATCAAAAATAAGTAAATAGTTGCAACTAACTATCAAAAATGTTCTCAAATTTTAATTAAAATTCACTACAGTATTAACAATACAATAAAAAAAATCATCTATTGTATTATAAACAAGTCATTGTTTCTCTTCAATCATAAATGTGACATCGAGTGCATAAAAAAAAAAAAATGTGACATCGAGGATTGGATTATGGATCTCACCGAGAAAATATGCAAAGACCAATATATTAGTCTATGTGGTCCCTCAATAGGCAATTTCTCATGACTTGCTAACTTGGACGAAAATTTAGCCAATTATAAAATGAATTGAAGATCTCACTTCCTCTTCACTCTTCAATCTTCACCCATGAATGCAAAGTCTTCAATCCGAAAATGAAGACTGACACTACTGCAGGAATGGGATTTCCGAACCGAAATATCGGTCCGAATATATAGGAAATCGGTCTGAATATATATATACGGACCGATATTGGTCCTTATAGTTGATCTGAAAAAACCTGGTACGAATAAGTCAAATATACGGACCGACGTATAATCGGTTCGTATATATATACTATCCGGACCGAAATCGGTCCGGATATTTCAGTAAGAAATATAAATAATTATTGAGAAATTGAAATAAGCGGACCGAAATTGGTCCCAAAAAAATAATATAATAAAATAATAAAATATATACGAACCGACAACGGTCTGTA